CAGTTAGATTCTATTGTTATTTATGCTCGTAGAATAGTGATAATAAATTCCACTAGTTACCTTCGGTAATTCTCGTATAACAGAATGTAGAAGATTTGCAAGTACTTCTTCACAGACTTACTTGTTCTTCTCAAACCTACTTCTCCCTAATCACTGTAATCGTATTTCTCTGATGGCTGTGCCGGTAAAAATTCCTTGTAATGCAGCAAGATGCGATTGGTTATTGAATATTTTGTTCAGAAAATGAATTCTATCGTTCTTTTCTTTATTTTTCGCATTCCTACTGCGACGATACTGTGAAGTTTAATGTCGATTGTATTGTATGTACAGAAGCAGCCCTTCCCTTTCGCCAATAGATCTTTGTAACTCCCGAGGCTCGCGTACGTCATTCCATCTCCGCAGCGTCAGCGATGCCCTCTCACTTGAACGCTCCGTGACACTTGCGCGTAAGTTCACATCAGCTTTCCCACAGTTAGCGAAGGCTTGATTGCTCGCGAGACGTCCATTAAAGAGATGACGCGAGCGAGTAACTCGCGAGGAGGGATGGAAACGTTACGAGAACGCCTGCATCCCGCTGCCCACCTCTAATTCAGATCCGCCTCCCTTTTTCCGCGCCCGCATGACTTGATGATGCTGCAACTAGAGCGATGTAGGAGAAGATAAAGCGCTTTGACGAACTTGAATGGAAATCGTTGTGAGAGATTATATCTAGAAGCAGTGAATGGAAAGTGGTTCCCGTATTTACCTCAAAATTTCGTATCTTGTGTTCTTTTCAGTTGAAATAGCTAAATAATGAGAATTGCCGAAGGCGCTTTAAGCAAAATAATTTTTAAATTATAAATTAAGACATTTTCTCTATCGAGATGCGGTTTAATTCCCTTGCTTGTAGCTCAATTGCTGCGTGGAGAGACTGTTATAGAACTTTGGAATTCGTTTAATCAGACTTGACCATCACAGGAACTTCACTGGTTATTGCCAGCTAGATATGTTTATTGCGATTAATGTGAGGAGCATAACTATATTTTCCATCCAATTTTGTAGGTAATATGCAATTTCTTTCTTGTTTTACATTCGCCAAAAACAATGCTTTTTAGATCAATTTTAAATAATCTTGGAAGTTGCTGTAGCTGAAAACTTATTTTTAGAAGTATCGGAGTAATGCACGGCAATTCTGCCAAATATTTACTTTAAAAAGATCCTTTAAGTTCGCTTGGGCTCTTTCGATTTCGTTTGCAATTGTTCACTTTCAATTGATAGACCATGTTAAAGGTGTGTGTTCGATAGAATTAAAAATGTTCTGTGTAATCATTGTCACCGCCGCGAAAGAACTTCCCCTAAACGGCTAAGAGGAGGCCGAAAGCGGAACGATTAAAGGAGTGGGCGATTGAGAGGTCACTGATTTGCGAAAAAGAGTTGTTTGCAATTAAGAATATGTGTCATAAGGACCACCAATTTTAATTGTCCACTGTGAATTATTCGTATCCTTGGACAGTCCTCCTCTGGGGGAGAGGGTGAGGAATGGCAAGAGAGAGAGAGGGGGAGGGAAGGTTGGAGAGAGAATGAGAGAGAGAGAGATAAAGTCCAGAGAGAATTGCCGCAAGACAGACATAACGATCGTATTGATCTTCGGTTGCAAAATGGCTGCTGGGCCTGGTCTGCCCTCAGGCAGCGTGCGTCGGGGCTCGACCCCAGCAGCGCGCCGCCTTTTCCTGGCAGACTCGGGTTCCGCGCGTGCACGTGTCGCCACTTGACGCCCCAGGCCGTTTCCCGCCGCCTCGATTCCGACAGCGCTTCCTATTGTTCCCGGCTAAACGAGTGGGAAAACGCTTCTCCGAACTGCGAATAAAAATCCATTAAGACGCGAGAAAAAACAAGAGCGCGGCGCCGCGCCGAGCTTCTCCGTCGGGGCCATGCAGAATGTCAAGACGGCGCCGACGACCGCCACGCCAGGCCGCGAGGGGCGGCAACTCGAAGCGGGGAGGAGACCACGAGGGGGTCGCTCGCTGGCCGAGCGGGTGGGAGCGCGGAACGGCTTAGCGCCCCGGGGCACGCGCGTGGTGGGCGGGGGGGAGAAAGGGGGAAGGGCACCGGAGGAGGGGCGCGAGCGTTCCGCCGCGCCCGCGCGCTCAAGGAGAAATTTGGACCAATTAAAGCAACAGCGAGGAACAAATGAAGAGCTAAGGAAGGCGTAATTGGCAAGTTTATTTGCCTCACAATCCATCACGTCTAATTGCATGCAGGTCGGGCCTCCCGCACTCGCCGTGGCGCACCCTCCCGCATTTCGCGTTCTGCTCTTCTCGCACTGTTCGTCCGCGCATGTGTTGTTTTGATGTAGTGCGCCTTCTAACGATTAAAAACGTTAACCCAAATGAACGCAACATGACGTTTGAAAGCAATTAAGCTACTAATTTGGAAGTAGTGCATATCCGCGCGGGTCGTAAAAGGGGAGCATTTTCCGGGCTTTGGAATCGGAAATGATCTTCCTGGTGAATTTATCTTCGTCACGCCGCGCCGCGGCGTTTGTGGCGGCGCCAGACCCCGACCGCGGACGCGCGGGAGGGCGCGCGGGCCCCGGCCGGACCGCCCGCGCCGCTTGATGTGGCTTAAAGCAGTGGCGGATTAAGGGGGGACGGGTGCCAGTTTTCGTTTGTTGCCTTCTTTTATTAGGTAAAATTGATTTAAAACATAATATTGTATAGAATAAAAAATGCCATATAATTACAAACGTTTATTATTTTACAAAAATCGGTGATGCAACACATGGTCCCACGGTGGCGTCTCTGTCGCGGAAGTCTTCGAGTTCGAATCCCACGGAGGCACGTTTTCGAGTCGATAGCTAGGTCAAAATCAGCCCCTGTCAGGAGGAGATTTCTAGAGATCGGCTGCTCTGATCGATAGTTTTCCGTGTTTTTTTCGATGAACGATTTTTTCGATGTGTGAAGGAGCAGTACCGTAACAAAGTAGCAGTTCCATGATATTTTATTCCGCATCCTTGTCCTTTCTTCTCCCTTTGAACAAACACGTTCCTGCACTTACGTTCACTCTATTCCGACACATGTTTGGGGCATAGAGCTTGTCCCGTCTGGGGCGGTGCTTTGCGAGCGGAGACACCTGGAGGGGATCTACACCTCATGCCGAAATGTAGGTCGGCGCCATAACTCGCGCCGCGCATGGGAGGAACATCGCCACCTCCGGTGATGTAACATGCACTACACGAACGGGACTAGAAATCCTTGCAGCACGGCCGGAATCATAAAGTAATCAATGAGGCCGGCGAGAGATTGCACCGGAGGGGCGGTCCGCCATTTTCTGCGCTGCAGCTAGGCATATTGCAATATTCCTACTATCGTAATAATATGGACTAAAAAGGGGGAACATTGGTACGATAAAGCCGATGTATTGCGCTCATTGTCGGGATGATGGGTAATCTCTTAATGAAGGTTCCAAATCTATTGACGAATATTGTTTTACAGTGTAAATTAGGATTTTTCAGTCAGTAAGATGGTGGTGGTCTGTGGTTTAATAGGATGGAATCACCGTAAGATGTCAATAAGTTTGGAAATTTTCGTGTCTGAATTGGGCAACAAGTATATCCAGTGTTTCGATTTGCCCAATGGATTATTACATGTTGCTTAGGATGATTTAACCATGTGCAGATTTTACGAGATTCCGGATTTAATCATCCTTAAGTCTACTACCTAAACAGGGGGATATCAGCCCGATGAAGTCGATTGTGGGTGTTGATAGTAAGATTAGATTTTGTAAATAGTGGCAAATATCAATAATTACATACTGACAGGAAATGTTGAATACACTACTTTAATTTAAATGAATCAATCGAAACTGACAGTACCTGCTCACTTTAAATACAATGTAAACTATATTCACCACCAGAGGTTTTCGTAATTTCTTTCGCCTCGTATCTCACGAGCTATTTTAATTATTAAATAAAGTTACAAGTCGCGAAGCATTAGGTCGAATTCGTGTATGTTGTTTGTATTAGTTTTTTACCCGATTTATCTTCACTGACTATGTGTTAAATGTATTCGGTTCAGCTGCAACAAACATATAAGCATACATAGTCTGTCACTTTCCGGTTACAATTGTCTATTTTTATTAAATTAGCTTCTTTAAGTTCTAAATTTCAAACTTTCTGGCTGGTACATTGTCCTGGATTAGGGATATTAAAAAAAATCGTTTTTGTTGGATCCAAGTGTTAAAAGTTAGATCTCGTCTTGATGTGTTTGTAAGTTAATAAAATCAGCAACTTATAAAAACCTTCAGTTTCGTGAATTTTGTTGACGGTACCGTTCGTAGGAACCTTCAGTGCTTGAATTGATTCCAACAGTCCCCGAAAGCGTCAAAGAAAACGGTTACGTTCCAAAAAATATGCGCGGATTTCTTCGACATCCAACGAATTGGCGCTGGGGGAGCCAATTTGAATAGGCAGGAGGCTGCTGGGTTGCCTTGGCTCGGCAAGGGCTGCGCCGAGATAGGGCGAGCCCGTTGTCGAAGCCCCTCCTCGCGTGGCCTTGATTCATCTACCCTGCGATCTCCCCCTCTCCCCTCATCGCAAGAGCCGTTGGCACCGCGCCTGCCCGGGCAGCTCGCGGGCGCGGAAGGGTAGGGCGGCGCCGCGCGGGGTTGGTTCTGCATATATGTATCAGGTAGACGGCGCAAATTCACGGAGGAGGGGGCGGGGCTGAGCGGAGCGGCACGCATTAAAAAACGCTCGCTTGCAGCCAATGGAGATTAGAGGAGAGTCGTTACAGCTCGCCCGTCCCCCTGTCTCTCTCCTCAGTCGCCCCTGCTCGATCTGTCTCTCTCTCTCTCTGTGTTCCGCGGTGGGCTGGCGTCACCCCGTTCCCTGGGCGACGAGGCCGCGCGGCCGGCGCGGGGCGGAGGGTGAAGGTCGCGAGCTGCCAACGGCGCGCGCGCAAAGGGGTGGGCGCGACCTCATTGTGCATGCGGATTGGTTCAATCGCTGAATGCGTTAGGGGATGCGAGGGACGGCGAGGAAGGGAGTGTTGCTGGTTGTGTTTGGCGCGGTGCCGTCGGGTGCGGCGGGTGAGACGTTCAGTTGCGTGCGGAAGGTGGTGCGAGCGGTGTGTGGCCACTGGAGGAACGGAACGCGCCAAGTCGGTAAGCAGGCGATGTTGTGTGTATATGCGCGCCGCGGTGTGGTTTTAGGGTTTTTATCGCGTCACGTTACGTATGTGAAAATTATGACGGCGCAACGACTGTCGTGGAAAGATGCAGTCATTGCCATCTTCAGAACGTTTTATTTCTTGCTGATTTAGTGTCTCATCGACTGAAAGTCATTTTCTTAAGGTCTAATGATGTTCAGAACAACATATCACCATAAATATTCATTTGATTCCGGTCATTCATACAAATGAAATGAAACAAGTAATGGTTATTTCTAAAAAAGAGTACTGTCACTGCTGACAATGTATGTCTTTCTCTTGCTATAAAGAACATGAATGTTAATGAGGGACTTGATCTGTACGTCGAGTTTAAGTTGCAAGAATTAGAATGTTAGTCGTGCAATACCGTATACCAGCTTCAAAAATTCTATTGCGGATTTCTAGCAAACGACACTCGAAAAAAAGATATCACAGGCTTTCGTTTCACGTTCTGTCGCGCTTTTGATGCTTGCGTTCGTTTCTCGCGGAGAAAGGGAGTGGGCGACAGCTGTGAGGAGACGAGTCTCCCGCAGCTGGACCCGCGGTGCCTGTGCCGCTCGACGCGTGATGCCGTGAGGGCGATTGAGGAAAGACAGCATGCCTGACCGTGCCCCCTCCCCCTGTTGCAGGTGACTTCGCTGGAGGCGGGGGCGGAGGATCGGGCGACGGCCACGAGAGCAAGTTACGGTCGCCGTTGCCGTCTCCCAGCCAGCGAGGTGAGTACCCACGTGAGAGAATGATGTGCAATGCAATCTCGAATGTGAAAAAGGGTAAAAAAAGTCTAATTCACCATTTCGGAAGGTTTTAATGACCTATACCGAATGTGATGGAAAGGACAAAGAAAATTTCGAGAAATTTCAGTTCAAGTTATCGAGATTTCATCGTACGAATAATTTTATCCCCAGATACTACACAGTCTTTTGGAGTGATAGGTTGTTCTAGGTTTACTATTGGAGCATATAATGTTTTTATAAGTGCGAGAAGGCACCGTTGCATAACTGGAATATTAAAACTTCCTCCGTTGCACCACCTTCATTTTCTACCTATCAAGTCTTGAAAACTCTAAAATTGTACAGTCATATGACAAACATTTCTTCCGGGATGAATATTCGTGTCGTATCTTCCATTAATTGAAGTATTCATTTGAAATGATCATTAATTATAATTGATTTCATCAGACATGAAATGGATTTACCTGCTATCAGTAATATAAGAGAATATTGAATGTTTAGCTACTGGTCACCAACGTGTTGGAAGTTGTCTATGATATATTGCCCAACTGTTGTGCTGACTGGTTTGATAGTAATTGGAAAGTAGATCATCATTCTTGTCAGTGATGTAGCAAAAATAAATAATAATAATAATAATGGAATATGCTGCATAATCTATTTATAATAAATGCAATTTATATCAATGCCACATACTAGTATTTTCAATTATATTGAAACTACTGTAGAGTTTGAAAATGAGTAATCGTTATTTTGGATTTCAACAGTTGCATGGTGTCAACGTCGGTTATTGTTACGCAATGTGACATCGCTTTTGAAGCGTAATACCACGGACAAATTTATTTCACGGGATGTACCCATTGAATCTAAAGAACGTATTTATAATTACCCGTTGTCGACAGTTCAAAGGGATGACGTGCAATTACGTTTGCACTTCCCTCATTTCAAACGTCAAAACGGCCAGAAATCGAAACTTCTCGCAAGTAAAGCAGGTCATCTGAAATAATATACAAACATTTGATGTATATATTCATTATGTTAACTTTTCTTCACTATAGATAGATTTAAAAAAGCAGTACATAAACTCACTTATAATATGTATAATACTAAAAAATAGTTGTTCCAGATATTTACATCAAATTTTTAAGTATTTTGACTTCAAAATTTCAAGGACATTCCAAATGTAAAAATTTCCGTAATGACTCATTTTCTCTCCATTTATTTTATAAAACATGACGTAGAGGACATTTACTTCTTTCATTGCTTATATCTGAAATTTGTTCATAACTCCATTGGGCCAGTTTCTTTGAATGTAAAGTGATATTCGGGATTATTATGAACTCGAAGTTGCGATTCATTTCATCATAGTTTCTCGACTTTCGCGATCTGCTTACACAACTTGTGATGTCCCTAAAGCCGTCGAAAACCAGTTCTCATAATAATAGTTTTGCAATGTGATATCCATTGTTTGTTCTAGCATGTAAAGGCTTTTGCAACTCCGCATTCCAATCACGGCTGCGTTACAGCGTTTCACCTGGAGTCAATTGCTATCCGAATCGGTTCTCTTCGCCACCGACCGCCGGACCACACCTGCGCTAAGCGCGGGAGCTGCCGGCGTGCTCATTGACAATTCGGATCTCGCCGACACCCCCACCCACC